GCCAAGGAAGTAATGAAGAGGTCCAAGTTCTTTGAGCTTGAAGTCACGGTGCATGGCCTGAGTAACTTCTGAGATGAGAGTAGAAGAGCTGCCAGTGAGAACAATATCATCAACATAGACAAGGACAACAATAGTCCCACGAGAGCAGTGTCTGGTGAACAAGCTGGTATCATGAATGCAGCACTTGAATCCAAGGCCCGGCAAAAAAGAAGAGAGGCGTGTGTACCATGCACGGGGTGCCTGTTTGAAACCATATAGTGATTTGCGGAGCTTGCAAACATAGTGAGGATGAGTGGGATTTATGTACCCCGGGGGCTGCTCCATATAAATTTCCTTGTCCACTGTACCGTGAAGAAAGGCATTGCTAACATCTAGTTGATGAAGAGGCCAATCACGGTTGAGTGCTAAAGAGAGACCAGGCGCACTGTTTGTTGCTTGACCACAGGACTGAATGTCTCCTTGTAATCAATGTTATACTCCTGATGATAACCTTTTGCGACAAGACAAGCCTTATACCTTGAAACAGATCCATCAGCATTCCGTTTAATGCGATACACCCATTTGCAACCAATCAGAGTGCGGTTCTTGGGTGGTGGAACCAAGTCCCATGTACGTTGCTCATTCAAAGCAATAAACTCCTCATCCATAGCCTGACACCAAAAACTATTACCAGAGGCTTGGCGGTAAGTGCTAGGCTCAGTGGTAGGTGGGGTAGTAACAAGAGTGGTAATGGTATAAGCTTTAGGTTTGAAAATTCCAGATTTGGCTCGGGTTTGCATGGTGTGTGTGTTTTGGGGCGGGGGTTGGTTAACCAGTTGTGTGTTTTGGAGAGGAGTAGGTGACGGTCGAGGGTGGGTTGGGGTACGGTTCTAGGGTTGGACCGTCTGTGGCGTGTCCATAGGGAGGGTGTCGGGCTGTCGTCCGTGACTGGTGGGACGGGTCTGGGGTTGGACCGTCAGTGGGACAGGAGCATGTGAGCCTGGGCTTGGAGGAAAAATAGGGGTTATATGAGAGGGTGACGGGAGGGATGAAAATTTGGGATATGGAAACTGATCCTCGACGAACCGAACATGATGAGAGACATAAACTTTTTGAGACACGGGTTCATAGCATTTATACCCTTTAGTGGTGGGGTGATATCCTAAGAAGACACAAGGAGTGGAGCGTGGTTGAAGTTTGTGGTGAGTGTAAGGGCGGAGCCATGGATAGACCAAGCAACCAAAGGCACGAAGGTGGGTATATGTAGGAGGACGATTATAAAGAGTTTCAAAGGGAGATTTGTTGGAGAGAGTTTTGGTGGGAAAACGGTTGATAAGATAGTTTGATGTGGCAAGAGCTTCGACCCAAAAGGTAGTCGGGAGAGCAGAGTCATATAGAAGAGAAACAACCGTTTCAATGAGATGACGGTGTTTCCGTTCAGCGACCCCATTTTGCTCAGGAGTGTAGGGACAAGAGGTGTGATGAAGGACTCCTAAAGTTTGAAGGAAAAGGCCAAAAGCGTTATTTACAAATTCTTTGCCATTATCACTTCGAAAAATTTTGATGTGAGAATTAAACTGAGTTTTAATCA